CCTTCCTTCCTTCCTTCCTTCCTTCCTTCCTTCCTTCCTTCCTTCCTTCCTTCCTTCCTTCCTTCCTTCCTTCTTGCTGTTCATCCTGTTCAGGTTGACTGGCAGAGCATTTGAGATCTCTCAGCTAGAATTAGATGCCATGCAGACTTCAACTCCCAGAATTCCCTGGCCTGCTGGCCAGGGAATTATGGGAGTTGAAGTCCACCTGTCTCAAAGTTGAGGTTGAGAAACCTGACTATAAAGGCCTTATAAATGGTTATCCATCCCCCTTCCCTTTTTTAAAAAATGTAATTACTATCTTAGTTGAGTTCTTGGCTAATTGTTAAGATACATTTTTTTTTGCGTACGTGCCTTCAGGTCATGTTCTTTTATTCCACTAATGGGCTTAAAATGCTGCCCGTAGCTATTTCTATTCTCTCTTGGTTCCCTCTCCGGCCGTATTGTCGGGCTACTTGATGGAGATAAATTTTAGTCAAATATCTCTTGGGAAGCCCTGGTTAATTATTAAATATATTGGATAGATGTCTGCTTCGTCCGTGCCAGCAAATATCATGGGCAGGGATTAAAAATGTAGCCAGCCCACCAAATTGCAAAAAACAGCGCTGCTCGATTGCATTTGATTTGAAACCTGCCTGCAATTTTGAGTCCCGGGGAAAGAATCCCAGAGACTGCTTGGTCTCAGGGTCTGGCAGCCGGGAAGGCCAACGGCATAGGCGGCTCAGCTTCACTCAGCCAAAATCGGAGATACCCCATAAAATGTTATAGTGAATCGTTCATGTAAGGAGCGCGAAATCAGGACTTGTTGGAAGGAAAACAGCCTATAAATGAAAATCAATGATGAGGAGGATTTCAAATGGTTGTTGGGGATCATTTAGAACTCTAGCCCGACACGGGGTCAGACTAGACCATCTTTAAGATCCAAAATGGGTTGGACTAAATGACCTTCAGGATCTGAAATGGGGTTGTGACTAGATCAGTGGTGGGATTCACATTTTTTTTACTACTAGTTCTATGGGTGAGGCTTGGTGGGCATGGTCGGGGAAGGATACTGTAAAATCTCCAGTCGGAGGTGGTATTTGCCAGTTCTCCGAACTACTCAAAATTTCCGCTACCGGTTGTCCAGAACTGGTCAGAACCTGCTGAATATACCACCTTTTGACTAGATGACCTCTGAGATCCAGAACAGAGTTGGACTAGATGACTGCTAAAATCCAGGGAAAATCAGGGGACCCAGGCAGTTCAAATGACTATAAAGATTTACTGCAAGCTTAAGCTCTCTACAAGAATCCAAACTACTAACAGTCAAAGCAATTTGGAGGCAGATAAGGAATTCACGGTGGGCTGGACTTAGATTTCTTATGGACACGAAGGAATTCATAACCGATGGTGCGTTTCACCCCTCCCTCTCTTGGGCTCAGCCTGGTCCTCTCCTACAACGGGGTTGGACTAGAAGATGACTGCCGAAATCCCAAACAGGGTTGGACTAAATTACCTTTTAAGCTCACCCTCCACCTCCTGCATCCCGTGAAGGAGCCCAGCTGCCCATCTTATTAATAGTGAGGTGTTCTTGTGTTTCTTTTGATCTCCCCACCTCCCACTCCCCCCCCCAATCCCTCCAGGTGGTTCCATCCAAATATCAGCGGGATTGAAGCAGAGAAGCTGCTCCTAACCAGGGGGATCCATGGGAGTTTTTTGGCCCGCCCGAGTAAAAGCAACCCTGGAGATTTCACCTTATCGGTCAGGTAAGTGTTGAAAACTTAGGAGGGGGAAAAAAAACAAAAAACAGATCGATCCAGCCCTCTAAACTTGGATATTGCTTCATTCACAAGTTACAGTGTGGTTTAACCAGGGTGTTCTGACTAAACCTTATGGAGACATTAACAAATACATGTTAGTCCCAAAACCCATTTTTTTTCCCAATGGCTGTGAATTTTAGTCATTCACAGCCCGTAATGAGTCTCACACAGTCCCATGGAAATCTGCCCAAGTCCTTCAGGATAAGTCTGATCAGCACTCACCTTTATCTTCCTTGAAATGCTGCCAACGACTAAATTTCCAGTTAGTGATATGAGGCCAAAACAGAGCACAAATTCAACACCAAGCTTCAGGTTTCACACCGACCAGTATGAACAAAGTTGCTTCCTGCAAAGATTCCCGTCCCTTTGCTCCTCCTTTATGTCTTATGGGAGGGCCAATCACCTCCAAGCCTTACTCCCAAGTCGCCTCTTTTGGCTTAGCTGTTCTTGTCTTCTGGCAGTTCTGTGCATACGCACACTGGGAACAGGCTCCCCTTGTTCATCTGCCTCGCTGCTGTCAGATTTTGGAGGCTCCGGAGTCAGCACACAACTCCCAGATGGCCTGGTCCCACATCTCTGTATCCTGGACTGGCCCATATTCCTCCCCACTGTCCTGCTGCCGTCTCCACAGGCTGCCAGCGGACCACAACACAGGACATTGTGGGAATGCACCTAACCATGGTTGATCACGCACATTCCCTTGCTCCCCGGATGAGTTCTTTGCTGACCAGACGTTAAATGAAACGGTTGAGCTTAGCAGGAGGAAGGCTCTCTGCTTGTGCTCAGAAGCCCTGTTGCTTCTGAGGCCCCCAGGGTTATTTGCAAACAAACCGGGGCGTAGAATGACCTCTTTGTCATGGCCAAATCCTCCAAATTAGCATTTTTGGGAAGAAAAGAACAAAAGCGTCCATTTAGAATTGTAACCCATGGACCGAGAATCAGTATCGTGGTTCCGCCCTTCCTTAAAAGGCCTTTTTATTTTTATTTTGTTTTGATTCTCATCCCACCTTTATTATTTTGATAATAACTCCGGGTGGCGAACGTCCATAATGCTCCCAAAAATATTCACGTGGGAGCTTCGTTTGAGAAACAAAACTTATTTCTATGGAAAAATATATCTTGGCTGTCGCCGGGAAACTCTGCAAACGAGGTTTTCCTCCGCTCTTGTCAGGATAGCTATTTTTTTTCCTAGCCCTCTTAATAGCTAACGCTCTTATTAATAATATTTGCTAGAATTCAAGATTGCATTTTGCATCCTCGGTTTAAAGTTTAACACACAGATTTGAGGAATGCAAAGAAGAAGGAAAACGAAACCAAATGACAATGCTTTCACAATCCAGACACTTATCTTTAACCAGGGGATGTCCCTTAGGCTTGGACCAAATATTGTTATATATTTTTTTTTTTACTAATTCTGAGCTTCATAGAGCGGATAATTCTAAAAAGGGATAAAAGCCGATGCAAAAACTTGAGGTCTTCAAATATTGGAGAATTATTTCTGTCTTTCCGTCAGTTTTGTTCGTGGTTAGCAACTAGGTTTGCTTAAAACAGACCGCCGTAAAACAAGAGGGCTGCATTTTTTAAAATGCCCAGCTGCAAATAGAAGTTTCTCAAGATAAATGGTGAAGGATCTCCTCCTGCTTGGGGGGGGTGGGGGTTGGGGGTTGGACTGGATGACCTACAAGGTCCCTTCCAGCTCTGTTAACCTATAATCTGTTGTTGTCACGGTTATTGCTCATTTTGTTTCTTTTTATTTTATTGCAAGTTTTTAAAAACAAACAACGAAGACATCACAAGGAAGCAAACGATAAGCCAAAGGAAATGCAGTTAATAAACAATGGAGGGGGGAAAAGGGGGAAATTACAGAAAATCTTGGCATCTATATGTCTAAATTTTGAAAAAGTCCAGTTCAAGGCGTCCAGTTGTCCACTTCTTATTTTCCTCCTGTTTTTTTTTTTTCCTCCTTCCCTTTCTTATCTTAAAAGAGCGCTTTGACTTGCAAAGACACGCAGGGCAGAGAAACGTTTCTTGAAAAGACGTTTTGTGATTTCAGCTTCTTCTTTTTTCCCCCTCCATCCTAAATGAGATTCTCTGCCACTTTTTATTTTATTTTTGGCTCGCTGAATGGAAAGAGTTTGAGCCTCTCTCGGCTTAACACTCCCTCGCTGTTCTGACCCAAACCTTGTTCCAAGGAAACTAACACCAAGCAGAGGTAACAGCAAAACCTTTTAATGATTCTTTACGAATTCTGTTCCTCCCCGGTTAAAAGGCTGTTTCAAACCGTCTCTGATAAGAACGAGCCTTGCCGAGGTGGTGCAAGGCTGCCAAGAACACGAGATAAAGTTACTAAGAAATATTTCAAAAGCAAAAAGTCTCCAAACACAAACTAAGAGAGTCCAAACATCCACCAGGCTTGAGTGCAAAAACGTCTTTGCTTCCTGCAAAGAACTCCGGGTTCTCAGCTGGCTTTTATCCCTTAAGGGAGGGGCCATTACCTTGCAGCCTTACTCCCGAGTCGCCCGTGCTGCTGCAGCTGCTCTTTCCTTCGAGCAGCCCTGCGCGCACGCGCACTGGGCCCAGGCTCCTCGGGGGCCTCTTCCTCACTGCTGCCAGCCTCCACAAGCTCCAAAGGCAGCACTCCATTCCCTGATGGTCCTGGCCCCATCCCTGCCTCACACGCAGGCCCCTCACCTGAGTCCTCGCTCTCCAAGACCTCAGGCCAAACCACAACAGTAATGGGGAATCCCATTTCTCGACCACAACAGTAATGGGGAATCCCATTTCTTGTTCCATGAAGCCTAGAATATTTTCCAGGTTTATATTCTGAAAACTTAATGCTGCAGGCGTTCTGCTTATGTTTAATTGAGGGCCCTTTTAATATTTAATTCCCTTCCCCCCGCTTTTTTTTAAGGGTATCTCCTGGATGGATGGGGAGAGAGAGGGTTAAGAATGTTCTCTCCAGCACAAGGAAGGTTAATTCTATTTGGCCCAGTTAAATGCTGCTCCTTTTCACCAAGAGCCCATTCTCAAGACTCCGTTAATTGCATTTTAAAGGCACTTTGGAGACAGTCTAACCTACTGAGCTCAACCAGACTCCAGATGTTTGATGGATGAGTTTGGTCAGAGAAAAACCAGCTCTCCCATTTCTTAATCAAGCTCTTGTTTTTCTGCCTCTTTAAAGAAAGACAGATAAAGCCAAGGAACCCAAAAGAATTACACAAATTAGGAGAGAGAGA